CGCAAGAAATATGGCTGAGTTAAGATAAATAGGATCTAATATGAAGCTTGATAAAGAAAAGTCAAAGGTGAGTCAAGTTAGACACTAGAATTGCAAATACTATCAACCAGGATACAAAACACAGGAGGAAGAACATGTTTGCCTTTTTAAAAAATACACCTTTAGGTGGATTAAGGCAGGGAAAGATGAATTTGGCTTTAGATAGGAGATTTATGTGCTAGAAAATATAACCAAGAGGCATTTATTAAAATGAATCTGCAGTTTCAGAAATACCTCAGAGCAGCAAAGTTCATCTAGGTATCACCTGCAAAGATAGGATGGATAGGTGAAGCATGAAAATGGCTGTGATGAAGCAAAGTATGTACATCATCCAAGAACAAAAAAGAGTGAAGGGCTGATCTGCTGTAAATAACTTATATTTTAAAAGTAGGAGGTGGCCAGGCACGGTGGCTCATGCCTGTAATCCCAGCACTTTGGGAGGCTGAGGAATCCAAGGTGGGCAGATCACGTGAGGTCGGGAGTTTCCAGGAGAAACCCCATCTCTACTAAAAATACAAAAATAATTAGCCAGGGGTGGTGGTGCATGCCTGTAATCCCGGCTACTCGGGAGGCTGAGGCAGAAGAATCACTTGAACCCGGGTAGAGGAGGTTGCAGTGAGCCAAGATCATGCCATTGCACTCCAGCCTGGGTGACAAGAGTGAAATTGTCTTTTNAAAAAAAAAAAAAAAAAAAAAAAAAAAAAAGGAGGTGGTAAAAGGCTCCTAAGAAATAATAAGAATATTAGGAAACTACAATGTTTCAAAAGCCAAAGGAGAAGAGTTTGAAGAAAACTGAAAGGTCAACAGTGTTAAAATGCTACAGAGATGTTGGGGGTACATGAAACTAAAAAGAAATCAATCATTAGAAATTAGAAGGTCATTATTTGTAGGTGAAACAATGAATCTACAGGAGTATTTGTTGCAAATAATTCAATATTTTTTTGGAGACAGAGTCTCATTCTGTCGCCCAGGCTGGAGTGCAGTGGCGGGATCTCAGCTCACTGCAACCTCCACCTCCTGGTTTAAGCAATTCTCCTACTTAAGCCTCCCGAGTAGCTGGGATTACAGGCACCCACCACCATGCCCAGCTAATTTTCGTATTTTAGTAGAGACAGGGTTTCATTGTGTTGGTCAGGCTAGTCTCAAACTCCTGACCTCCACCCGCCTCAGCCTCCCAGTGCTGGGATTACAGGCATGAGCCACCACCCTTGGCCTAATTCAAGATTTTTTAACAAGGCAAAAGTATTTTTAACTTTTAAACACTATTAAAAATCCAAAAAACTTCCCAATTAATAAAAAGGTAAATAGAAAAGGTTATTTTCAAATAAAATGAAGTGAATTTTAACATATTGAAAATTATTTGACTTATTAAATAAGTTTGCTTTCTCTAATAATACAGTGCTTCAAAAACAGACAATAAGCAGCTTCCACTTTCAAAGTAAATTTTTAAGACTAGCTCCTTGACCAAATTTTTAGGTTCCTTTAAGCTCACTTCTACTAAGTTTCATTCTTGTTCCCCTTCCTATCATTGGTCTGTTATAGGCCAGTTTTGGATAAGAATCCAGCAAAAAAAAAAAAAAAAAAAAAAAGAATCCAGCAATAGTCATTCCCCTCATCTTGGGCTACCTTAGCAAGAATCCCCTACCCTTGATGTCTCCTCTTAGCAATTTTTCTATCCACTGACCACTTCACCTTAATCCTTGGCTATAAATCCCCACTTGTCCTTGTTTGCAGTGAGACTTGAGCTGATCTCTCTCCCCTACTGCAATACCCTTAATTGGAATAGTCTTGAAAAACGTCTTCCTCACTGTTTTAACAAAAAGCAGAATCATTTTTTCTTTAACGCTATAAGGCATTTAAGGAAAGCGGTCAATCACACTCTTGTTAATATTAACAGAAAACTAATTTACCATACAATCACAAATAAAAGTGAAAGTTCAACAGAATATCCATATGACTGACAATTTAAATATTAAGGTAAGTTAGAGTTTACACAGTGAGTATAAAAAGGTTCCCTCAATATTTTAATCAAAACAATTTTTTAAAAAGGCTTTCCTATTTAAAACAAAGACAAGGGCACTGAAAAGTAGTAGAATCAAGCTCATTGCCTATTCATGCCAGAACTTATCGGTCAGAATTTTTAATAACAACAGAATAAAAATGGGAAAAAGTAGCTGGTATGTAATTAGTAGTTAAATCATATAAAACAATAGGTACAAATAGCTCCTGACACCCCAATTCCTCTATTCAGTCAGCAAATACTTATTTAGGCTTGGCCTGGGGCAGAGGAAAGACAGAATAGTAATAAAGACTCCCTCTGCCGGAAAGGATCCTATGAATTAGGAGACATGACATGTACAAAGAAGCAGAATGCCATGGTTATAATACAAAGATGAATGGGATAAATTCATTGAATAAGGGCACAAGTAAGGTGTTATCAGAGTTCAGAGGAATAAGAAATAATTTCTGATAAGAAGGTAAGGAAAGATTTCATTAAAAAAAAACAGGGTATGTGATTTAAGTCTTCATGGATGATTGTTAGGATTTAACATATAGAAGCAAAGGAGGAGGCATTTCAGTGATAGAAAAAAGCATAAGGAAAAGCAGGCCAGGCATGGTGGCTCACGCCTGTAATTCCAGCACTTTGGGAGGTTAAGGTGGGTGGATCACCTGAGGTCAAGAGTTCAAGACCGGCCTGGCCAACATAGTGAAGCCTGTTTCTACGAAAAATACAAAAATTAACCAGGCATGGTGGTGCATGCCTGTAATCACAGCTACATGGAAGGCTGAGGCAGGAGAATTGCTTGAATTCTGGAGCCAGAGGCTGCAGTAAGCTGAGATCACACCACTGCATCCTAGCCTGGGCAAAAAAGAACAAGACTCTGTCTCAAAAAAAAGGAAATGCAGAGTATAGGTATTAACAGTTGTCTGTTTCCAATGGAAAGAACAGTAGAAATTAACACTTAGGCCTTTGTAGTGAATTGAATACTGTCTCCTAAAGATTCACGATTATCTGGAACCTCAGAATATGACCTTATTTGGAAATAGGGTCTTTTCGGATATAATGAATTAAAGATCTTGAAGTAAAATTATCCTGGATTTAGCCTAGGCCCTGAATCCAAAGAGGAAAGGACACAGAAACACACAGAGAAGGCCATGTGAAGACAGAGTTGTAAAGAACGGGAGATGCTGCCACAAACCAAGGAATGCCTGGGGTCACCAAAAATGGAAGAGGCAAGGAATAATTGTTCTGTAGGGACTGAGGCAGAGCAGGAAGCACCTTTTGAGTTGCTGAGGGGTTCCCGCATGCATGAAGGAAAATCATGAGTTCCTTGAAGTGAAACTCCAGGCATCTAGCCAGCCCTGAGAAGTAAGTAACTTATTAAGCCAGAAAGTAACAGCGGCCTAAAAGATGTTTAATTTCCCTATAGCAACTAAAGATAACATCTTAATATGTGTCCCTGAGTTGTCATTCAGAAGCACAGACCCCCAACTGAGGACCCCCACTGAGCTGATCAGACCTTAGACTACAGGGGAACTAAAGACTGAATGCTTACCATCCTTCTTTGTTCTAAATTTCTTCCCAGGCCTGGTGTGGTGGCTCATGCCTATAATCCTAGCACTTTGGAGACCGAGGCAGGACGATCACTTGAGTTCAGGAGTTTGAAACCAGCCTGGCCAACAGTTTTAACCCTTCTCTGCTAAAAATACAAAAAATTAGCCAGCCATGGTGGCAGGCGCCTATAATACCAGCTACTCAAGAGGCTGAGGCTGAAGAATCACTTGAACCTGGGAGGCGAAGGTTGCTGTGAGCTGAGATCCTGCCATTGCACTCCAGCCTGGGCGACAGAGCAATACTCCATCTCAAATTAATTAATTAATTAATTAAAATAAAATAAATAAATTTCTTCCTGAGGGGCCTGGAGGGAGTCACACCCATGAGCCAGTTAATGTTCTTTCCTGCTGACCTCAAATTTTAAAAAAGATGCCTCTCTTCCTTAACCAATTGCAAATGAGAAAATCTTTTAATCTGTCTACCTACCTATGACCTGTAAGCTCCCCCTTCAAGATATCCTATCTCTTTAGGCCAAAACCAATAAGTATCCTCCATGTATTGATTTATGATTTTTCCCTGTAGCTTCTATATTCCTGAAACTTACCCTTGCCTTACCCAAGAGCCTTGGGGAGGTCAGGCTTTGAGCATTTATCTACCTGGTCCTCTTTGCTTGATGCCCTATAAATAAGCATCTTCCTTTCTACCGCTACAAAAACCTCTGGTGTAGATATCTGCTTTTACTGAGCCAGGTAAGCAGACTCCATTCTGGTTCTATAACAGGACTTCAGAGGGAACACATCCCTATAAACATCTTGATTTCAGCTGTTAAAACTGAGGGTAACTGTCTTATTTCAGTTTACCAGTTGTGGTAATTTGTTACAGCAACCCTAGGAAACTAATACAGCTTGGATAAGGACAATTCACAGAGGGCTATATTTTCCATGCTCCAGCATTTCTTTTTATTGCATTTTGAAAAAACAAAACACTGACCAAAAAAAAAAAAAAATTTCTCAGCTGGGCACAGCAACTCACAACTGTAATCCCAGCATTTTGGGAAACTGAGGTGGGAGGATAACTTGAGCCCAGGAGTTCAAGACCAGTATAGGCAACATAGACCCTGCAGTCTCTGCAAAAGAGAAAAAAATTAGCCAGACATGGTGGTGAGTGCCTGTAGTCCCAGCTGCTTGGGAGGATGAAGTGAGATGATTGCTTGAGCCTCCTAGGTCAAGGCTGCCATAAGCCACAATCATGCCACTGCACTCCAGCCTGGGACAGAGCAAGATCCTATCTCAAAAAAATAAAAAAATTAAAAATTTAAAGAAATTTCTCCCTTATAAGCATATTCTCATATTACCAACAAATTATGTATAAAAAAGCAAAAAAACAATGAAATGTCATTACTTACAATGTGTGACTCCAGCCAGAGTTTGGTAGAAAGTAGGAGTATCACTATCATCAGTGAGGGTAACATACACACCTCCAGATAGAAGCCATCGAGAGAAGGTAAAAGCATCTTTGTTTAGAAAAAGCCAATTTCTAAACTTTTCATAGTTTACCTTTTCACCCTAAAATTAAAACAAGAAAACATAAGTTTAGTGAAATTTTAAGCTATCTTACTTGCAACTTGCACAACCTGAAATTTGCAATTAGTTTTCATTTATCTTTCTATTATCTACAAAGGAACGATTATCTAGTAACACTGCAGGGCACTACATATTTGGAAATCAAACTGTTTTCAAAGTTTGAAAATAACGGTACTTCATAACTTCTACTTGCATAAAACCACTTTGTTTAATTACAAATTATTTCATCAATTCAGTAAAGCAGTACACTGCCAATAAGCCATATTTTGTTTGCTAAAGTACACCCCCAAATCAGTAAACTGCATTTCTTTAAACACTTAATAAATCCAATTTTTCACTTGCTTTATCCCTCTTCCTTAGCACTCTTCAATATAGCCTGAGTTACTATATTTTAATTAAATCTGTGTGGAATTAAAATACTTTTAAAATTTCATTTGTAAATTAAAAACAACTAGCCAGGAGTCCTTCTAGAGTGGACAATCAGGATCCCAGAAGGCATCAACATGACATTCAGACATGTTGCAGGGACATATGAGGACACTGCCAACATATTTAGAGATGAGAGCTCCTACCCATATTCCTTCTGTATCCCATGTTTAGTCTAGAGAGAAGCTTAGTAGTATAAATTCTACAAGCTGATGCACAGTTTTACATACATTAACATCTCTGACATTGGGGTAAGTCTTAAAATCAATAGCATCTCTCAATTGTAATTTCTTAGTGGTTGTGATATTGTTAAATATATATTTGGTCTTCATCTCTTTTTCTGGCATACAACTCCTAAAATTCTTGTGATGTCCAAAGTGATAAATGACTCTGCACACTAATGAATTGACCCAAGGCTGGGTGGGGGGCTGCTAGATAGCCTCAGGATGGGGGCTGGCCACTGGAGAAAAACAATGATTAGAGGGTTGGGACTTTCAGCCCCACTCCTAACCTCTAGGAAGGGGAGAGGGCTAAAAGTTGAGCTGATTACCAATGGCCAATGATTTAATCAATCATGATTAACTAGTGAAGACGTCTAGGGGGCAGTTTTACGAAACTAATCCCTTAACCTGTGAGATCCGATGCTATCGTCAGGTAGACCTTTCTACCACCTTCACATATAGCTAATACCAAGTGTTTACAATGTCCTAAGAACTACTCTATAATTTAATCTTCAAAGCACTCTCTACAGAAGACACTATTAACCCCATTTTGCACATGAAAAAACCAAGACACCAAAAGTTTAAGGGATTTGCCCACTGTTATACAGTGGAAGAAAGAGGACTGAACTCAGGTAGTCCAGGCTCCAAAGTTACCACACTGCCTGGCTGACTGAGTAAAATACAAAATAATCTCTGAAATTCACTTGCCCATTGGGAATCATTCCACATAACTGTAGAACAGAAATCCCACTGTCAAATCTGATTTTTTAAATGTTTTTGAGTCATGAATCTCTTTAAAAAGGGAAGAATGGTATAAAATATAAATTTCCATTTTAAGCATCAATAATCTAAAAAAAGACAGTAGGAAAAAACTTCATACAACACCAAGGTAGATTCCTTTATAACTGCATCTGACAAGGCTAATAATAAAGCACAAGACAGAAAAAGCTGCGACCCATATCACTTAAACCTAAGTGTGAGGTCTTTATATTTTAGCTAAAGTGTTTCTCTCCTTCTCTCTCCTTCTCTCTCTCTCTCTCTCTCTCTCTCTGTGTGTGTGTGTGTGTGTATAAATACAAAAACAACACAAAGCATTGTTATCGAAGGTCTGAATTAACCTATTCTAATATAAATACTAGGATAGCAAAGTTCTGCATGCAATCATCAGACACACTACTCAGATATTACAGCAGGCAAATAAATCAAATAGTTGAATCAGATACCATTAGCCCATTTACAATGTTGGTTTTATACCAACTAGAAACATCTAATAATTCAAACAGCCACAGCCACATATATGAGCCTCACATTTCTTTGATCTTTTCTACTCTAAAGATCTATTCATTAAAGACACCACCAACTCAGGCATTAACTACCATAGCCTTATGACATCTTTATTATAGTAACTTCCTCTTCCCATAATTGAAAATTTAAGCATTCCACTCTTCCCATCACAATTTCCTCTTATGAGTACATTCCATCTAGTATCCTGACACCAGCAATTTTTTAACTCCACAGGACCTACACCAATGACCTACCTGCAGGTCACCAAATTTAATGATCACTTCTCAGTGATCAAAGCTCAACTCACTAGATCTTTCAGTGTACTTGACATAGTTGAGTTCTCCTTCCTTTTTGAAACATTGTCCTCAGTTGGCTTCCAGGACACTATTATCTTTTATTAATCCTCTTTTCTTGCAGGCCATTTCTTAATCTCCTGTTTAAGAGGAGATTAAGATGAAGAGGACTCACTCTTCATCTCTCCAAACTTTAAACTCAACCAGGACTCATTCTTCCAATCTGTTTTCTATCTAAACTTACTCCTAGATGATCTCTTCCTTACCTGTAAACCAACAACAAATCCTTTCCCTTCAGCAACAGATTTATGTATAAAAAATCACATCTGACAACTCCACGAGTGTCTAATAGGATCCTCAAGTTTAATTACATCTTTCTTGATATCCAACCTCCAAACCTACTTCTCCATTACTCTTAGCCATCTACATTATTGGTAACTCCACTCATTTACTAAATCAGGCTAAACATTAATCATCTTCACACTACTCATTCTTTCATAGTCCATAATTAATACAAGAAAACATTCTAGGCCAACTCTACCTTTGAAATAAATGCAGACTCTAAAAACTTCTCATTACCTCAACCTCACTGCTACGCCATGATCTAAATGACCATCCTCACACATGGATTATTCAGATACCTCAATTGGACTGGGTTCAGCCTACTTCCCACATAAGATCTAAAGTGATCATGTGTTTAAAAAAAACCAAAACTCATATTTAATTACTTCTCTACTCAAAACCCTCCAGTGGTTTCCATCTCACTAAGGGTAAGTTAAAGGACTCACATTGTCCTATAGGGCAATATATAATCTGCCCCCCACCCTACTCTCTAATAATCTCTATAACTTCATTTCCTACCATTCTGTTTTCACACCATTCCAACTAAATTGGCCTTTCTATTGTTCCTTGGACATACCAAGTACACCCGTAACTCAAGGCCTTTGCTATATTCTCTTGATGAGAAGTGGTCCCCCCAGATATCTTCACGGTTTTCTTCCTCACTTGCTATAAATTCTTTATTCAAGTCTTACTTTACCTGACAAACTTAACCATTCTATATAAAATAACAACATTCAGGTGGGGCAGTGCAGTGGCTCACGCCTGTAATCCCAGCACTTTGGGAGGCCAAGGCAGGCGGATCACTTGAGGCCAGGAGTTCAAGATCGGCCTGCCCAATATGGTGAAACCCCGTCTATACTAAAAATACAAAAATTAGCCAGCCGTGGTGGTGCATGCCTATAGTCCCAGCTACCTGGAAGGCTGAGGCAGGAGAATCGCTAGAACCCGAAAGGCGGAGGTTGCAGGGAGCCAAGATGGCATCACTGCACTCCAGCCTGGGTGACAGAGCAAGATTCTGGCTCAAAAACTAACTAACTAAATAAAATAACAACATTCAGATGCCTTTTCTCTATCACCACCTTTTCCCCTTATTCTACTTTATTTTCCCCTATAGCACTAATTATCAGCTAACACATGTGCCTGCTACTGTGCTTAAATTTTGAGAGAACTGGGTGGCCAACCACACTTTGCTTCCATCTACAAAATGAAAATGTCTGCATAAACCTTATTAAAATGAAAAAATATGCATACTTCCTGAAAAAGAACAGAGAGTATTAATGTTTTGGACATCTACGTCAAAAATCCAATCAATCAGGTTTGCTAGATTATCCTTTTTTCTTACAAGTAAAATTTTATTATGGGGAAAAAACAAACAAATCATAGTTCAGTTTGTCCTGAAGTAGTAAAATACTATCACAGGCCGGGCGCGGTGGCTCAAGCCTGTAATCCCAGCACTTTGGGAGGCCGAGGCGGGTGGATCACGAGGTCAAGAGATCAAGACCATCCTGGTCAACATGGTGAAACCCCGTCTCTACTAAAAAAAAATACAAAAAATTAGCTGGGCATGGTGGCACGTGCCTGTAATCCCAGCTACTAAGGAGGCTGAGGCAGGAGAATTGCCTGAACCCGGGAGGCGGAAGTTGCGGTGAGCCGAGATCGCGCCATTGCACTCCAGCCAGGGTAACAAGAGTGAAACTCCGTCTCAAAAAAAAAAAAAAATAAAATAAAATAAAATACTATCACAGCAACTTCCAGTCAATATGTCACAAACAAAAACACAGGAAGCTGATCCTTTTGCAGCTGACATTGCAAAATGCTGGATAAAATGTAACACCACAACCATCACCAAAAACTGCAGAGCTAAGCTCAAAAGCAAGAAAGAGATATCACCAGGTGCTATCAACACAGGAGACATTCAAAACCAGAGTGGTAAGAAACTAGTGATAGACAGTCCAAAGATATAATCAGAGCCAGATACATGCATATGGCTGAAGTATGGACAATCAATGTCTATATAGTCGTGAAGGTGCAGCTATGCTCCCAGAATAAAACAAAGAACAGCGAAGGACTGTCATACTGGTAAAATAGAATTGTGTCAAAAAGCCACCCATAAGAAATTGGGCAGCACTGAGTGCTGCATGAAATAATCAGAATTTCTAAAGGGATTTTTACTCTACAAGCACTAAGGACATTTCACATTCTAGCAGGCCTCTGAAAAGAAAAATAAAATAATTCTGTCTGTTAAAGATTGTTGAATTGTTTCTATTGTTTAATTTTTCTATGAAGACACAATGAAAATATATTATTTTTGAAAACAGAAAAAATGACTCCCCATCCCCTTCCCACCCCCCACCCAGTAGAGTTAGGGTATTGCTACATTGTCCAGGCTGGTCTTCAACTCCTGGGCTCAAGAGATCTCACCTGGGCCACCCAAAGTACTTGGATTAGAGGTGTGAGCCACCTTGCCTGCCCAAAGATGACAATTTTTTAACACAAGCATTTCACTATGCAAATCAACTAGGGGAAATAAATGAGGAAATAGGCCTTGATAAAACAGGTCACAGATGGCTCAAAGCTAATGAATGAATGATATCCATGATGAAAAGCAATGACACTACAACATGAGCACTGTTTCAGGTTTCTGCAGGAGTGTGTGTGTGTGTGTGTGTGTGTGTGTGTGTACTGGTATGTTAGTGTGAGTATATAGGATTGTGTTTCATTATACTCTAAGTATGAATAGTTGCCTTTACAATAGAATTGAAAATTTTCAGATTCACAAATATACCAGTAATGAGAGTCATGGATAGCACATAAATAGAAACATCAATAAGTCTAAAAATGCCAGGAGTAATCTGCACATAAACATCTATTTGTCACACTTAAAACATATTATACAACTAAGAGTTAATACTTTGTCAACAAAAAGGGGTAAAATGTAAATCTTTAAATATACCTCTGAGAAACACTTCCTGAGCGTATCTGGGACTTTACCATCCACCACATGGAGCATTCTTTCCATTTCTTCCCGTATAACATAGTTCCCAGATTCACTTGAAAAAAGACTAAAAATGTCTAAGAGAAAGAAAGATAGAATAAATTAATCTTAACAAAGATCAGTATACCTTGGTGGAAGTAGGGAGAAAAGAAAAAGCTACAATAACTGACTGACTACTAGGGCCAAGCACTTTATACATATAATTTAGTTTATTCCTTAAAATAATCCAGCAACCAAAATTTTAAACAGCAGTATAATATCTTTTCAAACATGCCAAATTTGCAAAAATCTTTAGGTATAACAATACGAAATGTCAGCAAAGACTAGGAGAAACAGGGCCTCTTATACACTCTTAACAGGAACATAAATTATTGTAACCACTTTCATGAATAATTTGGCAAAACCTAGTACAGGTCAAGAGGTATGCCAGAAACTCCACTTCCATCTTTGAAAAACACTATACCTGTGTACAAAATACACGATGTTCACTGAAGTACTGTTTGTAAGAGCAAAAATTAGAAAACAGAGACAAATGTCTATCAACAAGAGAACAGGGAAAATGAGATACACATAATGAAATACTATATAGAAGTTAAAGTGTTTTTTTTTTTAAAGTAAGTGTTTGAGATGGATAAATATAAAAAATATAGCAAATGGCAAAACCATCTGTATAGTACAGTAGTACCCACTTATCCATGGTTTTGCTTTCCAAGGTTTCAGTCACATGTGGTTAGCAGAGGTCCAAAAATATTAAATGGAAATTTCCAGAAATGAACAATACATAAGCTTTAAATTGCACACCATTTTGAGTAATATGATAAAATTCTTGCCTCCCTCTTTATCCCACCTGGGACCTGAATGATCCTGTTATCCAGTATATCCCCATGTTACTCGCCTATTAGTCGCTCAGCGGTCATTTTGGTTATCAGACTTACAGACTTACAGATCACAAGAAGGGTGAGTACAGTACGATAAAGTATTTTAAGAGAGAGAGAGTGACCATATTCACATAACTTTTATTAGAGTATATTGTTACAACAGTACTATCTTACTGTTATTTTTGTTAATATCTTTCTGTGTTAATATCTTAAAGTTTAATTTTTAAATTAAACTTTATCATAGATACGTATGTATAGGAAGAAATGGTATATATGGGGTTTGGGACTATCTATGGTTTCAGACATCCACTGGGAGGGTCTTGGAACATATCCGTGCAGATAAGGGGAAACTAACATGTACCATTTATTTAAAACTTTAAACCTGCAAAGAAGCTGACAATGTTTAAGGACATGTAAACATGTTACAAATGTATAAAAACCAGCATGAGGAATGAAAGACCACCAAATTCGTGAAAGTGGTAACCTCTGTAGAGGGAAGAACAGAATGGAATCATGAAGGGATACAAAGAGAACCTCACCTTAGTTGTAATATTTTTTTTTTTAAATCAAATCAGGGACAAATGATACAATGTTAAGAAATAGTAAAGCTAGGTGAGGTACGTATTATATGTATATTTGAAATATTGTTGTTATAGGCTGAACTATATCGCCCTAAAGATATACTGAAGTCCTAACCTTGAAGTACCTGTGCCTTGAGATTATGTGGAAACAGTCCTTGCAGATGTAATCAAGTGAAGATGAGGTTATTAGGGTGGGACCCAATATAATATGACTGGTGCCCTTATAAGAATAAAAGATAACCACAAACAGAAAAAAGCTATGTGATAAGAGAGGCAGGGATTAGAATGATAGCTGCAGGCCAAGGAACCCCAAGGATTGTCAGTCATCACGAGAAGCAAGAGAGAATTTTTCCTACCTGGGAAATTTTTCCCAGGTTTCAGAGAAAGCAAGGCCCTGCTGACACTTTGATTTTGGACTTTCAGCCTTTATAACTGTGAGATAATAAATATCTGTTGTTCTAAGCTACCCAGTTTGTGGTGCTTTGTTAAGGCAGCCCTAGAAAACTAATACAATCATATTTAAAAAATGAAGAAACTTTAAAAATATATGTTTGTGACTTAAAAAATTGTTACCAGATGTACTTCAGTATCCATAGGGGATTAGTTACAGAACCCCCAAAGACACCAAAATCTGCAGGTGCTCAAGCCTCATATAAAATGGCATGGTATTTGCACATGAAAACTAAAAAGAAAATCCTAAGCACCCCAATCAGACTCTCTCTCTGAACAGACTCTCTCTCTTGGCCAAAGGGATCCCAGAAAATCCTTAAAAACAGAGATACTGGTCATGAGGGGATGGACAGTCAGACACATCTCATTATCCCAATCCCTTTTGCAGTTTAGATACAACAGCTAACCAGCATTAACATTAAAATAAACATCAAGACTGACAGACTTTGTGGCAAAAAGATACCAAGTTGTAAACAAGACCTAACGCTATGCCAGGCAAGGATTAAGTCATGTACCCCTACACTTAAAGAATAAACTGCTGGGTGTGGTGGCTCACATACGTAATCCCAGCACTTTGGCATGCCAAGACGAGAGAATCACTTGAGGCCAGGAGTTCAAACCAGACTGGGCAACATAATGACACCTCTATCGCTACAAAAAATTTAAGAATTAGCTGGGCATTGTGGCACATACCTATAGCCCCAGCTACTCAGGAGGCTGAAACAGGAAGATCACTTGAGCCCAAGGGTCCAAGGCTGCAGTGAGCTATCTTGCCACTGCACTGTAGACTGGGAGACAAGATGAAACCTCGTATCAATCAACCCATCAATAAAGAATAAACTATGTTCTAACTGCTACAAGGTTTTTCTTTTTCCTTTCCTTTTTTTTTTTTTTTTTTTTGAGACAGAGTCTTGCCTGTCACCCAGGCTGAAGTGCAGTAGCGTAATCTTGGCTCACTGCAACCTCCACCTCCTGAGTTCAAGCAATTCCCCTGTCCCAGCCTCCCTAGTAGCTGGGACTACAGTTGCACGCAATCACGCTCAGTTAATTTTTATATTTTCAGAAACATTGGTCAGACCGGTCTTGAGCTCCTGACCTCAGGTGATCCACCTGTCTTAGCTTCCCAAAGTGCTGGGATTACAGGCATAAGCTACCGCACCCAGTCATTTTTCTTTTTCTCTAGCAGTTATTCAATAAGCACTGGCCTTGAGACAAGCAATACTGAAACAGATGCAGCTCATTCAGCACCAAATGCTAACTAACTGACTCCCATTCCACAAGCTATAGCTACAGCTTTGATTGGACAAGAGTTATTTCAGTATCTATCAAAATGGTCGCCTTGCAGGCTGTAACCCTTTATAAGAAATAAAGTCTTCTTTCTAAATTTATAGGTATCATAATTTTTTTCAGTTGACTCATATAACCTACCATATCTTCCCATTATTTTAAATCATCCTTAGGTTATTTATAATAACTAAAACAATGTGAATGCTATCAAAATAGGTGTTACATTGTATTTTTTTTATTTATATTATTTTATTTGTATTATTTGTATGAACCTTAAGTTCCTGGCCTCAAAAAGATCCTCCTGCCTCAGCCTCCCAAATAACTAGGATTACAGGCATGCTGTAGCATACCAGCCCTGTATTTTTAATTGTTGCTGCCTGGGGCCAATTTATATTTCTGCTGGTAGAGAAATGCTGATTTGGAAAAACCAAGATCACAATTATATTCTAATACATAAAACTGAGTTTATGGATACATTCATTATCTTAATTATGGTAATGGTTTAGTGGGCATATCACATGTGTCAAAACATATAAAAGTATATGACTGTATGATGGCTCATGTCTGTAATCCTAGTACTCGGAAGGCAGAGGCAGGAGCATTACTTGAGGCCAGGAGTTTGAGTGCAGCCTCGGCAACCTAGAAAGACCCTATCTCTACAAAAATAAGATAAAGTAGCTAGGCATGGTGGCATGCACTTATATTCCTAGCTACGTGGGAGGCTGAGGTAGGAGGATTACTTGAGCCCAGGAGTTAAGGGCTGCAGTGAGCTAGGACTGTGCCACTACACTCCAGCCTGGACTACACAGTGAAGCTATCTCCTCTGTCCCCAGTCCTCTCCAAAAAAAACCAAAAAAACACACATCAAAATATATACTTTATTTATGTGCTTATTATTATATGACAATTATACTTCAAAACTTCTGTAAAAAATGATTTTTTCATCCATTTTGTGCTGCTATTATAGACCTAGCAACTTATTATAATAAAAAGAGATTTATTTCTTACAATTCTGGAGGCTAAGAAGTCCAAGGTTGGCGGGGCATGGTGGCTCACACCTGTAATCCCAGCACTTTGGGAGGCCAAGACAGGCGGATCACGAGGTCAAGAGATCAAGACCTTTCTGGCCAAAATGGTGAAACACCATCTCTACTAAAAATACAAAAATTAGTTGGGTGTGGTGGTGTGAGCCTGTAGTTCCAGCCACTCAGGAGGCTGAGGTAGGAGAATCGCTTGAATCTGGGAGGCGGAGGTTGCAGTAAGCCAAGATCGTGTCACTGCACTCCAGTCTGGCGACAGGGCAAGACTCCAACTCAAAAAAAAAAAAAAAATGAAGTCTAAGGTCAAGGGACCCGCATCTGGGAAGGACCTTTTTGCCCTTTCATCATCCCATAGTCAAAGGCATAAGAGCAAGAGAACACTTGCAAGAGGGAGAGAGTAAAAGGCTGAACTCTTCCTTTATAAGGATGCCATTCACATGATAAGAAGCTCACTCCTGAGATAACAGCATTCATTCATTCATGGGTGTGGACCCCTCATGACCTTATCATCTCTTAAAGTTCCCACCTCTCAACACTGTTGTACTGGGGATTAAGTTTCCACACATGAACTTTGGGTGATGTGTTCAAACCACAGCAAGAATTAAAAATAATGTCTAGATTCAGGAATAGGAGTGGCTTCTGAGAGATTCAGAAGCAGTCCCAGGGCAGTATCTTAGTCTGTTGAGTCTGCTGTAACAAAATACCATAAACTAGGTGCTTATAAATAACAAATTTATTTCTCACAGTTGTAGAGGCTAGGAAGTACACCATCAATTTGGTATCTGCTGAGGGACCACTTCCTAGTTCAGAGACAGCCATCTTCTTATTGTATCCTCACATGGGGAAAAATGTAAAGGGTCTCTCCAGGGCCTTTTTTTATTAGGGCATTTAATTCCACTAATAAGATGCTTATGACTAACCCTCATGACCTAATCATCTCCCAAAGGCCCCATCTCCTCATACCATCACCTTGGTGGTTAGGCTTTCAACAAACCAATTTTGAGGGAGACACAAACATTCAGACCATAGTAGGCAGATTAGAAAAAAACAAAGAAAGAAAGACCCAGTATATGGTGGTCAATGATAAAACCATAGGAATTTTGGGAACAAAATGTTACATTCTGTATAATACAAACAGCTTCCATACTTCCCCTGGGAAATCTCCAGTAAAATTTACAATGTTTATGAATGCTTTTGGTAAGGGCAGATGTGTCTTTGGGGAAGTCAAAGAAAAGAATGAGGGGACAGAAGATCTTATAAATAATTAAACAAGTGAATTTTTTTAAAGTAAATAAATCTATATCCTATGAAACACAGAAGGATACCAATCAACTAAGATTATCTTCCCTTTCACATGTAGGGGAGGAAATGTTGTCACTCTCATTATAGCACTTCCCCGATCAGCAGGATTTAAAAGTAATGAATGAGGTGTCACAATTTTCTGTGCTTAGATAATTTGCCTAATAAAATTAATTTCTGAAGTTAAAAGTAAAACATTAAAAAAATTAAACCATTTACTAAGAATGTATACAAAATATTATCAAGTAAGTAAGCTTTGGTTTTGTTTTTGAAACAAAGAATAGACTGCTACGTCTATATCATCAGAATTAAAAAAAAATAAGTTATATTGAGACATAATTCACATCCCATAAAATTCACCCTTTTAAAGTAATAATTCAGGGTTGGGTGAGGTGGCTCATGCCTGTAATTCTAGCACTTTGGGAGGCCAAGGTGGGCAGATCGCCTGAGATCAGGAGTTCGAGAGCAGCCTGGCTAACATACTGAAACCCCATCTATACTAAAAATACAAAAAATTAGCCAAGCATGGTGGTGGGCGCCTGTAATCCCAGTTACTGGGGAGACTGAGACAGGAGAATCGCTTTAACCCAGGAAGCAGAGGTTGCAGTGAGCCGAGATGTTGCCATTACACTCCAGCCTGGGCAACAAGAGTGAAACTCCATCTCAAAATAAATAAATAAGTAAAAATAAAGTTAACATTTCAGTGATTTTTAAGGTATATTTATAAGGTTGTGTAACTGTCACTCCTATGTAATTCCAGAACATTTCCGCCATCCCAAAAGGAAACCTTGTACTCATTAGCAGTCGTTTTCCATTTCCCTCTCACCTGATACCTCTTCCAACCACTAATCTATCATTTTCTGCCACTGTAGATTTGCTTAATCTTGAAATTTCATGTAAATGGAATCATAATATATGGCCTATTGTGACTGACATCTATCACTAAGCAAAAGCGTTTTCAAGTTCCATCCACACTGTAGCATGCGTCCGTACTTTATTCCTTTTTATAGCAGAGTCATTTTCCAGCATATGGATATATCATGTTTTGTTTATCCATTTACCAGCTGGCGGACATTAGGATTGTTTCCATTTTCTATTACCAACAATGCTGTTATAACTATTTCTGTACATTTTTTTTTTTGTGGTAAGCATATGTATTAAATTTTCCTGAGTATATACTTAGGAGTGGAATTGCTCCTCAATGTTTAACAATCTGAGGAGCTGCCAAGTTCGTTTCCAAAGTTGCTACACTACATTCTACTCCCATCAGCAATGTATGATGCAGTTTACAATTTTTCCACCTCTTCCTCAACACTTGTTATTATCAGCCTTTTTAATTTTAGCCACTCTAGTAGGTGGAATAGATACTCTAGTGAAGCAGTATCTCACTGTAGAGTTAATTTACATTTCTCTAATGACTTATTAGGTTACACATTTTTTCAGGTATTTATTTGCCACCCGTATATCTTCTTTGGAAAAATGTCAATTCAAATCCACTGCCTGTCATCAGAACTTTGAGATAAATTATTCTGTACAGAGATGTGGTATTATCATTTTTGAGATAATAAAAGTACTTACATTTTGCTTTCTCTTCATCTTTGCCTCTTGTAAGGAGGACAAGTCCAACTATTAAATTATTGAAGTGCAGCCCTTTGGATGTTCCACCAAAAGAACAGTAAATCACCTGGAAGAAGATGATAAAGCCAACCTTAAGAGGCATTTCAGTTGTTGAGGAAGCTGAGGCAGCTATCACCTTTAACAAATCATGTCTCCATCTCCAGAAAAGGCATTAGTAAATTTTAATAAAATCATATTAAGTTTCTCCCTCTTCTTCCTCTTTTAGACCTTGTTATTGCACTCAGTCAAGAATAGACCATGTTTACTATAAAATACATACTATAAAATACAAAAAGATGGTCCCCAACATGATTTTTCAACTTTACAATGGTGTGAAAGTGATACACATTCAGTAGAAACCATACAGTATTCAATAAATTACATGAGATATTTAATATTTTATTATAAAATCTGAGTTGTATTAGATGATTTTGCCGAACTGTAGGCTAATCTAAGTGTTCTGAGCATACGTGTGTGTGTGTGTGTGTGTGTGTGTGTGTGTGTGTGTGTGTGTATTTTAGATGGAGTTTTGCTCCTGTCACCCAGGCTGGAGTGTAGTGGTGCCATCTTGGCTCACTGCAACCTTCACCTCCTGGTTCAAGCGAATCTCCTGGCTCAGCCTCCCAAGTAGCTATGATTACAGACATGTGCCACCAAGCCCAGCTAATTTTGTATTTTTAGTAGAATATTTAGTAAAATAATTTTGTATTTTCACCATGTTGGCCAGGCTGGTCTCAAACTCCCTGGCCTCAAATGATCCACCCACCTCGGCTTCCCAAAGTGCTGAAACTACAGGCATGAGCCACCGACCCCAGCCTAAACACATTTACAGACTAGGCTAAGCTCTAATGTTTGGTAGGTTTAGGTGTATGCAATGCCTTTTCACCTTACAATATTCTCAATTTACAATGGGTTTCTCAAGCTGTAATCCCAGGGTAAGTACGGGAGTATCTGCATATTAGATATTCACACAACTGAATTATTTATTCTTTCTCTTTGGAGTCCTTATCAAGGTCCAAGAGTACAAAGGTCCTCCAATAGCCACAATAATGTGAGAAGGATTTTGTGCAATTACACAACTTCCTTTAACCTCAGGAAAACTTACGTACATTACTTTGATTGGCAAAAAAGATCCTCTCTAACTGAATGTTCAGAAATTCAAAGAGACTCCAAAAAACATTTTTTAACATTCTCAGAAATAAGTATTATAGTAATCAGAAATAGGGAAGAAAAACTATGCATAGGAAAGGGACAAAAGAAATCACAATAAATACATCCATTCAACAATTCTTTGTTGAGTGCCTAGTACTGCCAAGCAAGATTTCTGTAGATAAAAATGCACAATTAAAGAATAATTCAAGAAGTTAGTCAATATGAATACTGAAAATATATATTATTCACCAAATTATATTTATAAATATATTTAATAACACCTGACAACTGATGTCAAAAACTATCTCTAGTGTCAGTGATAATTCAACCTAGCAAAAAGTGGCCAAAGGAAATAGCTACAGAACATTAAAAATATTTTTTAAAAAACTAAACAAACAGAACTAACACATTTTGTAGAATAACTATTTTTAGTTGCCCCATCTCCCACTCCCAACTAGAAGAAAATAACAGGGAAAAACAAAAACACCTTTATCCCTGGGGAAGGGCAGGAAAACATAATGGCCTCAGAACTTACAGATCCCCTACCACTGGGAAGAAGGAAGATCAATGAAAAGGTCTCAACCCCAAGATCCAGGGACACAGCACCTGCCTAAAACTGAGAAATAGGACTACAGAGAATGTCCCCCTCCCTAGCACTCCCTACCATCCACCCTTCTGCCAGCAAGCACCGAGGAATAAACAACTATAGTATACGGCCGGACAGGAAGAAGAAGGCGGACAGAGACCCTCTCTGAGGTGTGATAACAAACAGAATATAAAATCAAAAGTTGAGGGTAGAGCAAACATTAGAAAAAAACTTGAGCCCCAAACCCTAAAAAAGAAAAGTAACCCTAGAATGGAAATTGAACCCTGTATTATACTGAGGGTAACCATAGCAACAAGAAGACCAAAATGAAGCTCAACTGTAGACTATATTGACTCAACCCCTAAGCTGAAGAAAGATACTACTTGGTCCAGTCTCTTCTGTCCTATATGAAACACTTATGTTTCAACCACACATTTTAAGTCGCAGAAAGGAGGAGAAACTCAATATATTATCAGAGACAAAGGAAAAATACGATAATGGAGTTGAAGAATCCTTTGGAATGGCTCAAGGGTAAACTCAACAGAGTTGCATAAGAGATTATCCAAAATGAAACAAAAGGGGGAACATGTGAGGTGAGCAGGCAGGGGAGGGTAGACAGAACAGAAAACCCAAGAGCTGAGAGATCATATCAATGATATAATATTCACATAACTGATATCCTACAAGAAAAAGAGAAAGGGGCAAAAGAAATATCTGAGGAGATAAGGTTGGGATTTTCAAAACGAATAGACAGAAAACCACAGATACTAAGAAGTTCAGCGAACAGGCAGAATAGATTACACCTCTAATCCCGAAAACCAACTAGACAAATCATATTAAACTTCTCAAAACCAAAGATAAAAAGAAAATGTTTAAGGCAACTAGAAGAAAACAAAAAACATTACACTGAAACAAAAAATTATAGCTGGTTTCTCATAAAAAATTATGTAAGCCAGAAATCAATGGTGTGATATTCTGAAAGCACTAAAAGAAAAAAACTCAACCATCAATCCTGTACCTGGTGAAAATATCTTTCTAAAAGAAAATATATTTTGGTTCCTTTTTTTGTTTTTCAGGTTTTTTTTAGGGGAACAAAAACAGAGAAGTCATTACCAGCAAAAAAGGATAAAAGAAAGTACCTCAGGCTGGAGGAAATATTATGCCATTAGAGATACATGTACCTCCATAAAGAAATAAGAATACTGGAAATGACATCAATAAAGGTAAACATAAAAGCATTTTTCTTATTTTTAATCACTGTGAAAGATAACTGGCGGTCTAAAGCAGCAAGAGAAGAAAAGTAATGTGGCTTTGTAGAATATGTAAAAGTAAAACACATAACAATAGCACAAAGGATAAGAGAAAGGAACTAGACGTATACTGTTTTATAGTACACATAAATGTGTACTATAAAATAATTAGCTGCATGTGGTAGCACACGCCTGTAATCACAGTTACTCGGGAGGCTGAAGTGGGAGAATCACCTGAGCCAAGGAAGCAGATGTTGCAGTGGGCCAACACTCACCATTGCACTCCAGTGTGAAAAACAAAGTGAGACCCTGCCTAAAAAAAATAAATGGGCAAATCATCTGAAATTTTCAAAAGAAGAGATACAAATGGCCAACGGGTACATGAAAAAAAATGTTCAACATCACTAATCATCAGACAACTGCAAATCAAAACTACAATGAGTTAAAATCTCACCCCAGTTAAAATGGCTTATATCGAAAAGTAGGAAGGCCAGGCGCAGTGGCACATGCCTGTAATCCTAGCATTTTGGGAGGCTGAGGCAGGCAGATCACAAGGTCAGGAGTTTGAGACCAGCCTGGCCAACATGATGAAACCCCGTCTCTACTAAAAATACACAAATTACCCAGGCATGGTGGTGTGTGCCAGTAATCCCAGCTATTTGGGAGGCTGAGACAGAAGAATTGTTTGAACTCGGGAAGCGGAGGTTGCAGTGAGCCAAGGTTGCGCCACTGCACTCCAGCCTGGGTGACAGAACAAGACTCCATCTCAGAAAAAAAAGAAAAGGAAAGGAAAAGAAAAACAGGCAATAATGAATGCTGGTGAGGATGTAGAGAAAGGGAAACTCTTGTACACCGTTTGCAGGAATGTAAATTAGTACAGCCATTGCGGAGAAGAGTATAGTTGTTCCTCAAAAAACTAAAAATAGAATTACTATATAATCCAGCAAATTGCTACTGGGTATATATCCAAAAGAAAGGAAATGAATGTATCAAAAAGATACCCGTACTCTTGTGCTTATTGCAGAACTATTCATAATAGCCAAAACATGGAATTAACCTAAGTGCCCATCTACAGATGAATGGATAAAGAAAATGTGGTATATACACACAATGGAATATTACTGAGCCATAAAAAAAGAATGAAATCATTTGCAGCAACATGGTTGAAACTGGAGGTCATAATGTTAAGTGAGATAAGTCAAGCAGTCTAGGGGTGGTGGTTCACACCTGTAATCCTAGCACTTTGGGAGGCCAAGGCAGGAGGATTACTTGAGCTCAAGAGTTTGAAACCAACCTGGGCAACATAGTGAGACCTCATCACTACCAAAAAATAAAAATAACCCAACCACAGAGAGACAAATATCACATGTTCTCACTCATATGTAGGAGCTTAAAAAAAAAAAAAAAAAAAGTAGATCTCATGAAGATGAGAGTAGATTGGTGGTTATGAGGATGGGAAGAGTAGTGGGGAGGAGGGAAGAAATAAAGACAAGTTGATTAATGGGCACAAATATACAGTTTGACAGAAGAAATAATATGTAGTATAGGCCAGGCGCAGTGGCTCAGGCCAGTAATCTCAGCACTTTGGGAGGCCAAGGTGGGCAAATCACAAGGTCAGGAGTTCAAGACCAGCCTGGCCAACATAGTGAAACCCTGTCTCTACTTAAAAAATGAAAAATTAGCTGGGCATGGTGGCAGGCACCTGTAATCCCAGCTACTCAGGAGGCTGAGGCAGAAGAATCACTTGAACCTGAGAGGCAGAGGTTGCAGTGAGCTGAGACTGTGCTACTGCACTCCAGCCCAGGCGACAGTGAGAGACTGTCTCAAAAAAAAGAAATGTAGTATTAGATCAGCAACGTAACTATAATTTATAATAATCTAGTGTACATTTCAAAATAGCTATAAGTAATTAATTCAAATGTTTCTAACATAAAGGAAGGAAAAACATCTAAGGTGATGAATATCCCAAGTACAGTGAGATTTGATCTTTACAAATTATCACATGTACCCTCCAAAAATATTTATCTATTACACATTATTAAAGGAAAAGAAAAATACTTTCTTAAACATTTTGTAGCC